TCCCTCCTTTTCTTCTTCCTTACTTTGAACAGGAGACAGCACTATTCTGAAGTAAACAGAAACTTATTTCAAGTTGAACATCTCTAAGCAAGACCCTAGCAGTGCCTCATGGATGCTGCAGAACCACCTACTTCGTTCACATCCCCACATAGTGCTGGTGAGGACTGGCACTCCACACCACAAAAGATGCAGTGGGGTAGCATCCAACTGCCAATGATTTTAAAAGCATTGCCACCATTCATCTTGCATGTTAGCCTGGAAAATATGACAGGCTCTGTATCTCCCTCCAGCCATTAGCTGAAACTTGGCAACGCTGGAGGAGAGCCAGGAGAAAAGAGACATGAAGCCGGGGGGGTGACCCAGCAGTTCCATGAGCCATTGCTGTTCTTTCCAGTGAATGGATATTAATTTTAATTAAATAAATGGCCTCCTGTTAAGTTTTCTGCCTTGCTTCCTGATACTGTAACTTCTTCACAGTAGTCCTTCCTACAGACAAATATTATTACCTTTCTTACTTAGAAATGAGGTGCACTCCTGAATTTACCTGAGCCAGATTCAGTTGTGTTACAACTCCTACTGAAGTCAAGGCTGAATTCGTTTTACTAAGTGGCTGGCAGGAGAGTACTTTGACGTGAGTCCTGCAGATTATGCAATGAAAGCACAAACTGATTCTGTAACAGCAATCAGTTTACTCTGAGCACCACTTGCTATGTATCTGCATGTTTAAGAAAATCAGTTTAACTCTTTTCAACAAATATACTTTGTCAAAGGTTTTTTTGGGGGTGGGTGGGAAGAGGGAAGTAGGCGAGTCATGTTGCTACTAATTTGATTTTGTAGTGAGAACATAAGCTTGAACAGCTGAATAAACTGGAGCTACTCCACAACCAACAGCAGTAAGAACAAAGTTACTCTACTGCTCATCAGCACTAATTTTAAACTGACACTTATGATGCCACAGAACTCTAATAAAAATGAAGGTGGGAAATTTCAGCTTTCACCCAGCACATTTTGTATGCGCTTATATTCTAACATATGAGGCAACAAAATAGTTCCAATTTCACTTTTATGATAGTTCATGATTACAAATATTCAGATTTACCAGTTTTACATTTTCATTTTTATATAGTAAGATTCTCTTTTTCAAATCAGATTCAGAGCAGAATGGAACCCAGTTAAGAATTTTTCATTCTGGGTTTTTCTACTATACGTCTCAAATGATGCTGCTTTTCAGCAGTGTGGCAGCAGGCTCTAAAATGACAGTATAATCTGAAAACTTTTCACAGCTTACAGAAGGTAAGAAGTGTTTCTTACTGTGTGAGCTTTCAGGTTGTCATGCTTTGTAAAATGGGTGCAATTTTCTTCTAAAATGAAATGTTAACTTTAGAAGAATGCACTGGAGGGAAGAATGCTATTCCTCAAGAGTAAAGATCTTTTTCTCGTCTCTATTTTTATAAATGTAAACATATGAAAATGACAGATGTGTGTAAGCTAGTCTACACACAAACAAACTTCAGTTCCACATGGGCAGGTTCAGCTGGAAGCCTAAATTTGCCTATAGGTGAATGTTAACCCTCAGAAAATAAGGGTTTATTACAAAATGATCCCGTTAGCAGATTGTTAAGTGAGCTTTCCTTCTGTTAAGTTTGTTGATAATTTTGGTTATAAAAGAATGCTGGTGCAAGCCTGTGGCACGTATCTTTACCGATTTAGTTGTATCCTACTTTGCCCTCAGTCCCCAGCACTCTTCTACATGATATGACTGGCCATGTTTAAATGGGCGATTTAAAAAGCCCACATCCAAATATGTGGATAACAAAGCCAATTCTCATATTAGATTTGTCAAACCCCATACTTTATTTTCAATACACCTACCACCCATTAAAACTGTATTATACACAGACTCCTGTATGGTGAGTCTGCAGAATCCTTCAGAGCAACACAAATTTCTGTAGGAGTTCTTCTCACATTAAGGCAGTGGGTAGTTGTTTCTCTACATACCTTTAAGCATCTCTATTTATAGAACTGTCTACTGTTCACATCCCCCACTTCAATATACTTACTACATAGACCTATTTTACTACAGAACAGAGTGTGCATACACAGGCCACAAAAACTGCCAAAGTCTAATCTCTGGCAGAGTCTTTTGCAGGACACAATCCTCCGTCAAGATTTCATCCTGAAGGACTCTGCAGACCCCTTGCAGCTAGCACGATGGAGATACAGTACTATTAAAGTGTACTCACTGTCATGTTCATGTGTACCTATGGACAGTGAACAGCATTTTATGGGGTTTTCGTAACCTACTGCTTTATTCACGTTGCAGGGACCCTCCATAGTTCACACCCACACTTGCAAATTCTCTTTTAAAGAATTTTAAAGCCACCTCGCCACTGTCAGGGATGCACACTATGTGCAAAATTGGCATAGCAGAAGTGTTCTTTTACCTACGTACCCCAAAAGCCCTCAACCCACAACATTCAACAATTCCTTCTCCACATGTTCTCATGCCTCACTTCCACATAAAACTGCTGAAAGAGAGGATCCACTTAGTAGGATCACAGGGATACTGTGAAGTGAATTGCAGACCATTCGCCCTTGCTTTTATCCTCTGCTAGAATGGACAAGTTGTAGCACATGAAGGACCTCTGGGATTTAATGAACAAATTCAGGCCGTTTTCAAGTGTAATGAAACGCCTGCAATCAATCGTTCCAGTCTATGTCAGGCTGCTGTTGAAGTCAATGAAGTTATCCAATACAATGGCCTTCATAGGTAAAAAGCAATCAGCTAATTTACAGCACTTATTTTTCTATCATTCTACAGCACCGTATTTATCCATATCTGCGTACCAAGAAGCTAACTGGAGCTAAAGATGCAGCAGTGTTTGGACAGAAGGGCATTCAGAAGAAACTGAAAGCACAAACTACCTCCACTTATTTTTCCCAAGACTATACTTTGTCATATTTACATGGAAAAAAAACTCCACGTGTTCCCAACGACTCTAGGATTTGTTACGCAGTTCATGCAATGAGCTCAGGAATGCATTATCATTTGGTAGCCTTGTAGAGGAAGAACTTGTTGTGTTAGACAGCCTGTGCAATAACTCTCTTGCTTTCCTCCAGAAAACTGCCCAAACAAGCAATACCCAAAACATTACTACAAAGAAAACTAACACCGGTTTTGGTTCCACCCTTTCAGAAATACTGTTAAGAAAAAGATGAGACTTTGTGGGAACAAGTAACACCAGCTGCCTTCTGAGACTCAAAGTCGCTGCCAAATAAACATCAAAACATTAAGGCGGTGCATTTCATGCCATGCTGCCCCTCTGCTCAGGGGATTCACTAAATGGCTGGTTTTTGGACGGGGAGACCTTTTTCACTCCAATCGGCCCTCCTCTGTTTGAACCGAGACATACTCTTCAAGGTATCACTTTGTGAAAATTGGTATCAAAGAACTGTTGCTATTTTAAGTGCACATTAACATCAGAAAAAACCCTTCATATTCCTCACAAAAATATTGCAGTCTTTTTCTACAGAGAAATTTTGCTCGTTATTACTTTTGGTAAAAAGAAAAAACAACATGTATTTTTATAATTCAAAAAAACAAAGCAAAAATGACCAAGTGGACATTTGCTCCCCACAGGCCATATCTGCTTATATCTCCAGTCTCTTTTCTATATATACATATAGATTTTCTGCTTGTGTATGTATATATAGATACACATACAAGTAAATTTATTTTTAGCTCTACGCACCTCTCCAGGTTTGTCTTTACAACCTGTATGAGAATGATTATGAATCTAAAAAATAGTTTTCTAAAAACATACAGGCATCTTTTTTTTTCTACTCACAATCTGGGTTATTTCAAAATAACTGAATGAAGCAAATGAGAAACAATTTTGGTTTAGACTGCGCCCAGATAACCTAACAATTGTATTTCCAAATACACAATTCAAAATTAAAAATGTTCCAAAAATATACACGGCAGCTTTTTCATGGTGCTGAATCTACAATTCAAACTTTGACGGACTTTATTTTCAATAGGGGAGAAGATTTCTCGTTTTGTTTTGTTTTGTTTTTCCTAAATAATCCTAGCAAAGTCAAGTCCAGCAACCAGAGTGAAGTCAGTTGTGCGAAGGAGTTTGGGCCCAGGAACAGAAACGGAATTGTCCTTAACAACACAGTCGGCATGCTTGGAAGCTGATGCATTACAGGAAGGATGTTTTCTTCACAACAACTGCTGTATCACCAGACAGCACACTTGCATGATGCACGCAAATTTACTCTTTCTTATTTCAAAGAACTGTTGGGACAAATTTTGCCCTTGGATAAGCATGCTCAGGCCCCACTGAAGCCAGGCAGTGGAACTTACAGTCATGTGTCCGAGAGCAGAATTTGTACCCAGTGTTATAAAGAAAGAAAACTGTTTAGTGGATAAATAATGAAGGAAAGGAATTTACAAAACAAACAAGCAAGCATTAAAATATAATTAATTACAAAAAAATAAACAAAAACCAAAAAAACCAGAGCCACTTACAGGGCTTGATGGAGTCTTTGGCCAGCCTGGGCTGCTAATGCTATCACTTTCATCTCCATGAAATGAGGAGATGCTAGCAGAGCTTGGGGACATTGGGGAAGGGACTGGCAGGTTGCCTGGGGTTGGGGGCTGAGAAATACCCTGAGAGCTGTAGCTATCCTGTGGTAGAGGAATAAAAAAAAAAATAATATGACAAAGGCAGGGCAAACTTTATTAAAAACAAAAAAAATACATCCAGTTTAACAGACTGACCGATTTTTATATATAAAATATATATAAACAGAGAGACACATACAGAAAACACACACATATATAAATATATTTTTATATATATATAAAAGGTATTAAAACAACATTGTTAATTAGTATAATTTGGAAAGTTTGCTGGATGCTTGGCTAAAGTCACTAAGCCACCATGCTTATTTCAAGCTCACATGGAATGCTAAGCATGGGTTTCCCCTTATGAAAGAAAGAAAAAAACCAAGCTGTTCACCTTATTTTGTCAAATAAGGCAGGAAAGCAAAATATTAAAGTATGTTGCTGCTGCTGAGGCGGCCAAAACAGGAAGCTATAACTGAAGGCAGAGAAAAATGGCTGCAAGTATTGAAACCAGGCAAGACCCTTCTTTCCCACCCACCTGGCACAGCCGAATCCCCACGCAACTTTTGGCTTGGGTTGCTTTGCCCCCGCAAGTTAAAATGCCGTAAGAACTAGTAACTTTCAGATCCACACAATGAGGAAAAAAGAAAAAAAAATAAAAGAAAAGAAACAAACGAAAGAGATTGCACGTGAATGGAAAGGCATGCAGGAAAGAACAGAAATGGGTAGGCCAAAACCAGAAGATGAAGGACAACACAGCAGACTTCTGCGGGCTCAACCAACACCACGTGCGGAGGTGGTAAATACCTTTGACTTGCTCTCGGGCTGGGGGGGTCCTTCTTCTTTGCCATCTGCTTTGAGAGGAAGGGGTAGTTTGGACTCACCGGGTGTCATCATATCTGCAAGACCCATAGGTGCTAATCGAAAACAGGAGAAACAGTTAAGCATGACTATGTTTGGCTCTGTAGGAAAAAACACGCTTCCTGCTGCAAGACTGTGGCACCACGTGAAGCAGAGGTTATCCCACCTCTGTCCTGTTATTCTAGTGTCCGGAAACCTGGAAACCTCTTCAGTTGAAGTGAGGAAATAAAAGAGAATGAACGAGGCGAGAATGCAAGCACCGTGCAACAACAACAACAAACACTTTTACAAAGTAAAATTTATTCTTCATGCTGCTGGTGGTCTTCAACTGTCTCCATATTTGACCACTACATTTTAACAGAACAACATTCTATTTTAATAGCGACTGCACCTTTCCTTTAGCACAGACAAAAGTAAATGAAAATGATGCGCCTTTTGCTTGCGATGTTGAACCCGAGAAAAAGGCTGAATTTTCCAGCTGCATCTGTATTAAGGTTGGTATCCAGCAGGTAATTCCTGCCCCTACCAACTTCAGAATGCGCAGCTCAGCCACTGTGAGCCTTAACTACAGAATTACAAGCTGTAAACTCCACTCTGTTGGAGAACCAGCACTCAACTTCTTCCCCTCCTGCCAAAATGAGGTGGGACTATAATGAATGCACAAATGTCTGTCTCTGATAATGGCACGCAGTTGCTTCCCAGGGGTGTGAGGAATTTAAGGGTTTTTTTTATTTGAAGATGCAAGCGCTAAGTATAGTATTATTGCTGCAGAGCTGCTGGGTTCCTGGATTTCTACAAAGACGCAAGGAGAAACATTCAGCTAAATAGACAGAAAATACTGGGCAGATCAGATGCTAGAAGGTGTCGTGTCACTGAATCAATGCAAATAACCAGAGAGCAACAGCAAAACATCAGGTGATTCTTTCCCTGCAGAGAACCATGTGCACAGCACTTACGAAAGACTGGATTATCTTCCCTTCCTCTCTCTTTTTTCTCCCCCTCATGCCCTTCTTTCAAAGAAGGATCTGAGGTAAGAAAAAACATAGGATAGAATAACCTACAAGGCAATAGAAAGGAAAAAACGCATATCCCAAATGTACAAATTTTAAGAATCGGCAAAGCATAATTGTTAAAAAAAAATTAAAAAAATCGGATCATTACCAGCCTACAGTGCCTCTCTGCAAAATGACAATGCTGGCTCACGCTAGGCAGCAGGCACACTGCATAGCAAGCCAAAGAGAGGAGGGGGAAAAGAAGCTTTAAAAATACTTCACAGATTGCCCACTACAAAATGATTATTGCACATATTCATGTATTACTATGTTTTAGAAAATAATTAGTTTTAATTACAGCAGTGAGAGCATGAGCAGGACTCTGGCGAATACGCTGGCAAGCTTTGCAGTGCTAATTTGTTAATATCTTCAGCATCACTGCAGGTTGAGACTATGGGTCTGCCAAAAAAACCTACCCAGCCATGTGCCATGTGAGTTTACAACTGTATGCTCAATATTCAGCTTTGAACTGCCGGTGTTTTTCATGGGCACATTTTCTTGTTTTTTCAAAGCACATTTGTAGCCCAATCAAGCCCTTAAAGTCATCACAACACATAAATCATAATTGAGATTTAAAAAAAAAAAATTACTTGCAATACTTAAGACTTCAAGAATTGGAACAAAAAGCCTTTTTCAAGTGATGCAGCTGCAGAGAAAAATCTATTGGGATCAGCTAAAAATGCTGTTATTTTTATGTATGTGTGTGAAACCTCAACAAAACAGCCAAGCAATAGGATACTAGGAAGCCAGCACCCACTAAGCATTTGATTTGTATGCATTTTGCCCTTATACTCTGCTTGAGGAGCTGGGGCAGCTTGTGACCGTTATGAAGTGAAGGATGGCAGCCTAACACATTTTAGTGTTGAATTCCACAGTTAAAAAAAACAGTTATTTTTCTTTTAGAGATTTTAAAAAAATGTATGTACAAAATGGTCAAATGTATGCCACAGTCTGGTTTCAAACTGGGATGCAGAACTGTTATACCAAATCCATTTTAACAGTTAACACATTTCATGCTGTGAAAGCACTAAAAAAGAAGTCTTAGTTTTAGTTTCAAAGCAACTAAAGATGACCCTTCCCCTTTAGAGCAACTTTAGAGGTCAAACAAAGCAAAGTTAACAATCACGCTTCACCAGAATTCTGCATGGCTAAATCCTCTACTGATGTCTCACTGTTATCTAGGTTGGTACACTGGATTTCTGTTACAAAGAATATAATAATTGTGCCCACTCCTGGTAGTCAGGTTTCCATCAGAATTCCTTTATAAAATCTCTCTTCCAGAAAGGCTGAAGTTAACACCTCATGTAAAAGGGAAGTAACTCTAGTCTGCAAATTACCGTATATATTCTGACAGTATTAATCATGTTTAGAAATGTAAAAATACCAATTCATTTTGGCTTTTGAATATTTCTTGTATGCAAATATTAACCATCAGGAGTTGGAGACAATTATGAAAAAAATAATAGTTTCCAAAATTCTTTTTTGACTTTTTGCTCTAAATTGTTTACTTCATCTACATCCTATCTTTCTACGTCTAAGAGGAGAACTGCGAGGATTTTACTAGGCAAACTGCAAGGTTGTCCAATTTCCCTATGGCTTTTACCTAAGATGTTTCCACAGCTACTTTTCTATCCACTGTTGAAATGCTGTTTCATAACTTCTTGCAAACGTACTTTTCCAGCGATTTGCAAACAGACATTCCTTTACTTTTCTTAGCAAAGCGGCACAGCGAGAACATTGTTCTGACCCTTTCTGAGCAGCGAGATACTGTTATTGTCACGAAACTGCTAAAATAAGACACGGTCTCTTTCTACACAAGTACTAATAATTCTGCGTGTGAAGTGCAGACCAAAGGATAAAACATTTTAGAGAGGAGGATAACAGGGAAATCTTGACTCAAAAAGTGTTGTCGTGTACCGTGAATAGGTTTCAAGTACTAGCCTCTGGCTTATTATAAGAATTTAAGAGCTAGAATGATTTCAAAAAGCAAGTATGGGTCACGGTCTTGAATTAACTATTCCACACTGAATTTAATGTACTCAAAGGCAGATATTGACATGAGTAAAACTGCAGCAAAGTATTCTTTTTTGCTAAAGGCTGCTCTATCAATCCCAGAAGATGATGAAGTACTGTAGGAGCAGCAATCCACATTGTTTTTCTCTTTATTGCTAGCGCAATAACAAATCACAGTCTACAAAACAGAATATTATATCCTTTATAAGACATTCCTTCCTCCCTTCCACCACTAGCACTTTCCTTCTGGGAAAAAAAAAGAAAAAGAAAAAAAGCAGCAAATTTGTGACTCATGGATTTGGCAAGAGGATCTCCACTGCTTCTATGCCTACAGGAAAACTGGAAGAGGGACAACAGCATTGCCTAATGTCCTGCCATGAATGACCATCTGCCACTGGGGAAAAGCCCAGCCCAGGGGGCTTGGGCACCTCATCTGAAACGCATGAGTGGGCCACCAAGGAACTCAGCACCGTACCTCCTTTCTCCCTACCAAGTCTCACCCGAGGGATGAAAAGCGTGTGCGGTTTGGGACGCAGGGATCTCTATGCCAGGAACTAGCTTGATTTACAGTCACACAATGACCACTGGATCACGGTCATCGCTTACTTGGAGTATAGGTGATGGGATACTTCAGCTGTACCAACTGTTGACACCCTCTGGAAAGTTTATTTAAATGTGCATTATATCATAGCTCATACAAAGAAATGCATAAGAACAAAAACATAGTAAAATAAATGGAGGTTTCCATTTTTCAGAAAAATGTAACCAAGCTGCAAAACAGAGAAAACCAATTAAGATTTCTAAAAAATGCTTCATATTCACAAATATGACTGCTTTCTCTATCAGAGGTTCAGCCAAATAAGTATGAAGTAAAATATATAATGTATATGAAAAGGTAAGTGTTGTATCTATTTTTATGTTATTTTTAAGAGCATCCTTTTAATTCCTTTAGTGCAAATACCTTCTCCTAGAACTTCATGTTTTAAGTATTGCGATGTTAAAAATTCATTTGGAACAGTAATACCTCCAAAATGGAAGGTTTCAGTAGGACAGAGGTAGTGGTATTACGAAAAGATCCTTGTGGCTGCAAGGAGATTAATACCTTTTTATTGTTTTGTTCACTTCCAGAGGTAGCAGAGATTGTGAGTGCCAGTTTCTGTGCAAGCACAACATGGAAATCTGTGAGAGCCAAACTCCATATTACTTCCTTTTAAAGTAGAATTAACAAGGTTCACAGCATGAAATTATTTTATTTATGTTGGGTCTTGAAAATTTCATTTTATTATATATATTTAAGGCCTAGACCTAAACAGGGGAAAAAGCTAAAATATCTATGAGAAATGTAAATCATATAAGAAAAGGACAGTGGAGGTTATACAATTTTTGTTCCGTACTGTGCAGGGATTCTGGCACTTTTTCCTGAAGCTTTTGTTATTGTTATAGATGGGATACTCTATCAGAAGGATCTACCTTCTTTGTTCTCATAATTTCCATGTTCCTAAACTGCTCTACATCAGCAGAAGCTGGTGATCTGTTGTTTGATCTACAGTCACTGCTGAAGTACCAGGATGCATAACTGCAACACAATTTTCCTTGCAATTGTGACATTAATTAAAAAAAAAAAACTAAAGGAAAAAGGATCAACTGGTAATAAGGAGTTATAAATACCACTAAAAACTTGTGGCAAAACCAGTGTTATAGTTAGCTGTACTGAAGCTCCAAAACCATATGAAAGAAAACACATCAGCGCCAGCAATCTTCCTCTATTTTAGAGTAAAACCTGAAAGTGCATTCGATTAAAATTAATATAACCATAACCTACCTTCCACCCTCAAAACAGGCAACACAACTGCACTCTCCAAAACCCAGACAACCAAGAAACCAACTTCTCCCTATTGCTTACCTTAGTTTTTCATCGGCCTCTAACTGAAACCACAGTTGTTCATGCTCAGTGCATGTGAGCGAGTCAACTAATGCCCACACTTCGCTCCATCAGCAGCCACCCAGTTGTATTTGGCTTTGGCCCTACACATTGCCTGAAGCCTGGTTTATCCCACAGATGTATGAATTTACACTAGAGGGGGTGGGGAAGAGAAGGCTCAAGAGCCAGATAGCTCAACTGGTCTCTGTGTCACAGAAAATGCCCTTTTCAAGGCCGTAAGTAGGTATCACCTACAAGTTCTCCACCTCATCAAATGTACCTCACCAAATGCAGGGCCAGAGCTGACCCTGACCCCCAGCTCAAGCCATTATCGCTCAAAGTGCTGTATGTACACTTGTGTTAAGTTCAGTCCTTCATTTCTTTGACCCAAGCAGAAGGATGAGTCAGGACAGGGGGAAATGCAGCATTCCCACTGCATGTGCCCCCAACAGCACACTCACACCTAATTTTCTCTTTTTGTTCCCCCAGTACCAACACCGTCTGTGTGCTCTTGGAGGCTGGCTGCACGAAGCAATCTAGACGGCATGTCTGCTCACACACAGAGGAAAAGAGGTGCACTGAACTTCTTTAGTTCACCTCACATTTACTTTCCATTGGGTAATCTCTGAATTAATAAAACTGGAACAAAAGAAAACCTCACAAATGCACTGGCAGAAAAAACCCTGATAAATGTTTAAATTATTAAAAATCCAATATTTCAGAATGCGTAACACAATAAAAAGAGTATGACTACCCCATACAAAAGACTGCTAGGATAAATGGCCTTGCATTGAACAGATTTCCACTGTATGAAATAACGAATGGCTGAATTATCTGAACAAAAAAACCTCTGTGAATCTTCCTTTAAACTGGTTATTCCTTAGGAATACATAAATCTTCTTAGGCAGGGCACTCTGCCATCTGTTTGCTGTTGGTTATTTTTGCAGCTCTGGGGGCCAAAGGAAAAGGGGGAAAAATTACTTCTGCTAATAGCAAAACAGAATTTATAGCACAGTTTCAATGCTCAGAAGTAATTTTATTTCAGCAAGCCAGACAAAACACGTAACTACACAAACAAAACATAATATTACCTGGGACAGCTCTGGTGGGGGAAAAGCAAGCTATTATCTAATGGTCTTTTCAATAGCTTTTCCCTCTTCATCCAGACGGTGAAGTGTGCTGTCTGGACTAACCAATGGCTTCCAAGCCAGCACTAGAAAAAGCCCTTTTTTGTTGTTTTTCTTCTCTTTTAAAAAAATCTTACGGATTAACAGCTTCCTTTCTGTTTCTTCTGCTAACCAAAACCATAACATACTATTCTTGAAAAATAAAACACCGTTAAGTGCCGCAGGAGCTCCTATGTAGACGAAAGAAACCCTCTGGACATACTGGACACTAGAATCTCCCAGTGGCCATTTTCTGCCCAGGAAAGCAGGGACATACAAAACTGACAGGGAGGAAAGACAGGGAAGGAGGCAAAGGATGAAGGAACAAAACAAGCAAAGCAGGCCAGAGAGGAAGATACTGAAACACAGCTCTTGGTAAGATACAATTTAATTAGTAAGGTAGTTCCAAAGAAGAAAAAAAGTAGAAACAAAATCAACTAAGAAAGAAAATCAACTCACCTTAGCACTACCTATCCAGCTTTCAGAAAATCTTCAAACGCCACCCATCCCCTAACATTTCAAAAAGCGCTAATGTAATCGGTAAAGCATGCACAGAAACTCCATGACTGGAATAAGTATTTGGGAGGATACACTTCAGGGTCACCGCAACTCCATCCAAACCCACCCCAATCAAAGAATTGATCTTTACTGAAGTATTATCTTGATGGAGGATAATTGTTAGGAGTTCAAGCTGAATATGGTCTATAAAGTACACTTGCACAGAATTACATTCACCTGTGTTCAGTCACACACAAAACTACAAATAATTCTACATTCACAAGTCGTGATATGAAGGAAAAATCCAGCAGCTACACCGAATACGCTTTTTTTGCAAAAGGAAGCTATGATTAAATTTCATATACATGAAGAAACCCTATATCTGGCTATATGAATTTTGGAAACGGTAAATATGGCCTATGTTTTCAGAACAGAGTAATTATTTTAAGTGCTTGACTTAAAGCATCTTCAAGTCAGAGCAGGTGCACATTTCTTTTTTTAAACCAGTACCACATTAAATATCTGAAATTGCAATCTTAAGAAGAAAGACACTGAAAAGCAACAGCAGCCTCTTAAAAGATGAGGTTTTTCTCATTCCCTCTCTTGCAGACACAGGCACACACAAATACACGTAAACTTGCTACTCAACACCTACGTCAAACTGGGTCCGAGTGTTGCTGGAACTGTTCAAAACATTGTACTCATCTACATGCTGTGCAGAAGGGCTTAATGAAAAATGTATGAGTTACTGTACAAAAAACCGCGAATACCTTAGCCTAGTTTTGAATCACTCCAAACTATCCAACAGGGGCGAATCGAATGAAGAAGGCTATCCCTCTGCCACCAGCCCAGGGCTGGTACCGTTAGGAGATTTATGGAGGAAGGTCACTGCTGAAAGGTTACCCACCATTACCTGTTGAACTGTTCACCATGTTAGGTGCCATGCTGTAAGGAGGAGCCTGCGGGTTCATCAAGCCAGAGCTGTTGTTCATCGGCTGAGTGTAGGGGGAGCTGGATCCCATAATACCGCTCTGATTCATGGCAGGAAAATTGCCTTGCCTACGAGAAGAAAAAGCACACACACGATGTCTCATTATGTACCTCATTGCTGAAGATGCTGTGGTTTGTCACACAGTACATCTCCTATTGTTTGCAAATAGCTAAGGAGAAGGCACGCAATTAGATCATTTTACCTACACGGGGAGCTATTAGTCTTGAATTAGTTACCGTGTATCTGAAACAGAATTGGACTGAACATAAATTTCAAGAGATGTACAGTGTCTTTCTAGATCACAACCAATCAGCAGAAAAATACAACTCATATTATTTATCCTACGAGTAGACAGTAATGTGATCAGGACTCAAAATTAGAACTTAGGGTTGGCATAAGAAAATTTCAGTGAATTGCAATTTTGACCATGTAGTAGAAAACCTTGCCTGCCATAGCTTAAAAACCAGTGAAACGACCAGAATAAAAATGGGTACCATGGAATCCGTTTCAGATTTCTGTATCTGATGTTACTGCAAACACCTTGTTTCCTGTAAAACACTTCCAAGCCCAGGGTGCAAAGGAGAAATCCAATTGCACGTGAGCATTTATCTTGAGCATACCTCATGACCAAAAGCAACGTTCACACAACTCCCAATGAAATCATATACACATAACTTCCTGCTTCTCTTCTTCCTCAAACCAGCTTTTTTTTTAAAAAAAAAAAACACCAACACAACAGATGTTCCCATTTCCATTATTGATCTAGGGCCCAAAGTCATAGTCATTTCGCAAATACCATTAAAGTGACCATAGATGTGACTGCAGCACTGAATAAAATGCTCATCTTGTTGTACGTGCCATCTATGTCCAATCTTTCAAAAAACCACATACATACTACACTTTGTTGAAACAAGAAACCTCAGCAGAACTATTTCGGTTTTGAAAATTAATCACATATCTGTATAATGCTTTCATAACTGAGACCTAAGTTTGTCTGAAAAACTGCCCTGAATGAAGCCCTTACCTATTTCTCCACATCTTCAGATGTGAAGATCTTCAGACCAAATATTTTTGAAGGCTAAACCTTATCTACTCATAATTCTACAAAGCATCTAAGCATGCTTTGTACTTGATTTAGCAAATTCTGTAGATAAACTGAGGCACAAAGAAGAAAATAATCCAATCCAAGTAAGCAGAATAACCCAATGTAATGCTTTATTCAACTTCAAAAATAACTTTTTATTCTTTTAATCCATAAAACAATTATCTACCTTTTCTTGGTATAGTTGAAGACTGCACATATTATGATACGTATATGGATATAGACTTTATATACAAATAAAAACACATGCAAAAATATACTTAATTGTATATTCATAGCCTACATAGGAAAATACAAAACTCAGACCTTTTTTTTCAATGTATCCCCTGTAAATTTATGCTGTTTTTCCAAATCAAGGAGACAAGAAAGGAAGCAACCACCCCTTTACATTGCTTTGGTGCCCGTCTGCTTTTTTTTTCTCACGAAAAACAAAGCATTTAATTTTATCCTACAGGCTCGGAAAGCTGCCTGTCCTGGTAGCAAGATGCAGTTTTGGAGTAAATTCTACTTTTCATTATTATACAGTATTCAAACAAAACAGGCAACCCACAAACCAACAACCCTGAATAACTTCAATGGCTTCTTGTCTTCCCCAAACTCATGGCAGATTCTTAATGTAACTGGAAGAAATGGATTTCTTTTTTAGGAGGTGCAGGAGGAAGACCATTAAAGCACTATTTGGCCTAATTTTTCTTGACACATTGTGAATTTCTTCAAAGGAAAAGAGAACGTGTTATCTAAATAAAGCATCTTTTTCCAAGTCAGTTTTGTCCTTTGCTCTCTGAAGACAAACTTTTCTTCACTCTTGCAAAGAGGCAAAGGCTTTCTTTTGATATGAAGGAGACAACTGCCATACAATGTCATTTCCCTGATGAAGCTTGCAATGAGTAGCGGAGGGAAAAGATTTAAAATGCACAGTGGTGCAATGCTCCAAGGGAAAATTACAAAGGGAAAAGAGAAGAGCGGGACCATTTGCCAACAACTTTAAAAGATTTCAGTCAAACAATCAAGCTTTTCTTATGTAAATACTGTATCTTAAACACACCACCACCACCCCCTTTTTAGCTGAAAATTGCTATATTTCAACAAATGCAGTTAACTGGAAAGTTATTTCTATGCTGGATAAGCAAGATCCTTTCCATTACTGGGTAAAGTTCAGCTACTACTGAAGATGAAGAAAGTGTGCAAGTGCATTTTTACACTGTTAAAAAGAAGTAATAGATTCTGAAAGGTTCTTTTATGGAGCAAGGCTGGGATTCTGGAAGACAGAAGTCTTTACAGGTATCTATCTCTCTAATGTCCTTCTTTTGCTTTAAAAATACACAGGAGATATGCACCTTGCAGTAAGCTGAAATTGGTCCTGACCAACTAATATTTCAACTTACTTCCTATAGCATGTATATCTTCTAAGCTACGGGGCAGTTCATGGTCTCAAATTGAGGTACAACCTATTTCATGTTACCCACTACGGACATCAATCTCAATTGTAGTTCATGAAAGCACACTGCTGTACAACAGCTTTAAATCAAAAAGTAGGAAACTATTTCCAGTTTAGACGGCGAGTGAAAATTAAATAAAAGGAATATACTAGCTTTGGCCAGGACAGCAAGAAAACAACTGAAGTCTAAAAAAATTGCTTCTGTACCCAGAAAGACCTGAATGGCAGAACCTAATTTCCAGAATTTTATCTGGCAAAGCAATCCTTTCATCCTCCCATGCAATGCCGCACTTGGAACAGACACAGCTCTCCATCTCTGGAACGAGCCCAGCAAGTGAAAAGACTCAGCACCATCCCTGGCAGAACTCTCTCCTTGCCTGGTCCCCTATCAAAGCGCTGACCGCAGCACGCGTGAGCTCATTCAGTAACACTGAAAGGCGACATCCTGTAAGAGCAAACATTATTGTATCCTGAGATTGGGTGCAGTGCGCAGTACGGAGCTCTTCCACATATTATTCTGCTCTATGATGGCTTGGAATGGAAAGTTTCTTTAGGGAGAAATAATCAGGTATTACTTCAGCCTTTAATTCTCACTCCACAGTGGGCCTCCTTTGAGTAAAGACTGCCGACTGTGACAAATTGTGCTGCATCAGTGCTGTAATATGAAGTGGAGTCCATTAAGAACTGAGCTGAGATCACCAAACTCATTTTGATTAACCTCCAGGTCACTAAATACTTATAAATATGTTACACAGCAGCTGCTAAACATATTTATATATGCTTAAGGTCACAGCATCATCTGTTGGTTGTTGGAGTTAAGTCAAAAATCTTATGTTTCCTTCTGTGCTGCTTTTAGTAAAGGCATATCCAACATACTATTTAAGAAGTAGTTATCTCAAAGCATACTACCAGACTCTCTCCTACATCTCCCAATTCCCTCCTCCATTTTTCTGGAAGGCTAAATAAAAATCACGCCTTTTAAAAACAGTCTGCTCTACATGTACTGACATCTAATGGCAAAAATTCAACTGACCAGCTATGAATTCTATAGCAGAACAAACCCAGTTAAGTATCCGATTTTACAATATTTAACACATAAACACCAACGGTTGGGTGGCTTAGAGATTATGCAAGTGATAATTAGGAATAATAGGAATAAATTGAGAAAAGAAACACTTCTGTTGAGTATAATGGAAAAATGTCTTCATGGTGAGATGCAGTTGTCCTCCAAGGGAGTGAAGGAAACCCCAGTACTTGACACTTCTGCAAACAGACAACACATTAGAAAAAGCACTGGCATTACATATGAACTAAATGACCTGCCAGGTATTTTCCAGCTCTAACTCCTCCAACACCCCATTTAGAAGAAAAAGCAGCCGGGCTAATAGAAATTTAAGATTATGCTATCAATTTAAACACTATACTTAAGCCTACACATTTCTTTTTTCTGCTCTACTGCTACAAGTAGACCTCCAAGTATTCAGCAAATGGAAGAGATTAAAAACAGGAAGGGGGAAATCTGCCTGCTTTCTGTGGTTTAGTTACTCTGTTGACAATTCAGTAATTCACAGCACTTGCGTAATGCCAGAGCCAGTTGCTACGCTCGAGGAAAGGGCTGCCACCCAGGGGGACCTAGACAGGCTGGAGGAATGTGCTGACAGGAACCTTATGAAAGTCAACAGGGACAAGTGCAAGGTCCTGCACCTGGGAAGGATGAGCCCCCTGCAGCGTTGCCGGCTGGGGCTTTACTGGGGGGGAGCAGCTCTGCTGAAAAGCCCCTAGGCATCTTGGCAGACAGGGAGCCGAGCATGAGCCAGCAGAGTGCCATGGCAGCAAAGAGGGCCAACGACATCCTGGGCTGTGTGACCAGGAGCAGAGCCAGGAGATGGCTCAGAGATCATCCCCTCTTTACTCGGCACTCATTAGACTCCATCTAGAGTATCGTGTCCGGTTTTGGATCCTCCAGTAAAGGAAAGACGATGATAAACTGGAGTGAGCTTAGCAGAGGGCCCCTTAGATGGTCAGGACTTGAGCACTCACCCTGGAGGGGCTGAAGGACAAGGGCTAGTTCAGCCCGTGGCAGAAACAGCTTTTGGGAGAAACCTAACAGCAGCCCCCCAGCACCTACAAGGAGGTCAGCTAGAAGATGGAGCCAGACTCTTCACAGTGGGGCGCGGTGGGAGGATGAGAGACAATGGGCAAGAGTTGAAACATGAGAAGTTCAGCCTGGATGTAAGGAAACCCTTTTCCCAGTGAAAACAGTCAGGCACTAGATCTTGGTGGCCCACGGAGGTTGTGTGGTCTCTGTTCTTGGAGGTTTTCAAGACCCAACTGGATAAAGCCCTGAGCTCTCAGCTGAGCTTGCTAAGGATGAGGTTGGACCAGAGACCTCTTGAGGCTCCTTCCAGCCTGAATGACCCCATGATCCTAGATGGTCAGCTTCATTGTGTTGTTGATTGCTGTACTATTGGGTCCAAAATACAACTGGTCAAATTCAAAACATTCCCTTTTAAGAAGGTCCTGTTCTG